TGAGCTGCCAGAACAGCTTCATCGTCCTTTGGGGCAGCAAACCTAGAGCTAGCTGAGATCTTGGATGATGATGCGGCAGTGGTCGTGGTGCTGCTTGAACCATCGAGAGATTTAGAGCCGCCGTCTATGCTGCCATCGAGCTTAGGAAGCAACTGGGTGGAGTTATTTAAGAAGTCTTGGTATTGCTCCTCCGTAATTTGTGAAAGAAACTCCTCTATTTGCCTGTCTATTTCACTTGAGATGTCAGAGACAGAGACAGCCATTGTTGGGAAGATAATGTTATTTTTCAAACTGTTATAGTGCGCTGTTGCTACGCGCAAAAGCTACCATGGGAATGCATTGCTGTTGCTAACTGTTGCTAAGTAAACTATTTGTTTATTTTAGTACATGGTAGAAGTTGGTTATACAACTCTGTGTCGGTATCTATGGCCTTATCATACCTCGGGCCTACGGCCCTCGGTATGATAAATGCCATAGATACCTCCACCTCGTTGTATAACCTTTACTTATTATTATTATTATTATTATTATTATTATTATTATTATTATTATTATTATTATTATTTTGTAGACTAAAAGTTCACAGTATCGTTCTCATTTCGATGCAACTGCTGATGATGCACTAGTGCTACCTAGACCAACTCAAAACCATCAGGTAAATGCAATTCAATAATTTCAATTAGCGTTATTAATATTACTGTATATTTATTATTAATATTATTTTTTAGTTAAAGTACAATACTCGTGGTTTACCTGTTGTTGATGTTGTGGTTGATCCTCATTTATCACTTAAGCTCCGCCCACATCAGCGTGAAGGTGTTATATTCCTGTACGAGTGTATGATGAGCATGAGAGAGTACAATGGATCAGGAGCAATACTAGCGTTAGTATCAATAGTAACATTAATAATCAGTTCATTAATACAATGGAGTAACATTATTGATCTGTATAGTTCATTATATTAGACAGTATGACCTTTGCATTATCTGAATATTACAAATACAATTGTGCATATACCGTATAGTGGGAAAATTTGGCGAATCGCTAAATTTTGGTGATTGCAGATTTTAATTTCGCCCATGTGCCATTGAACATGCACATAATGGCTCAAAATGGCAGATTTTTATTTTGGCGAATGGCTATCAAAATGCCAATTCACCAAATTAAATTCCCTCCAAAATTTCCCACTATGTGGTACATACATTTTTAAAGTTTTACAAAAATTGATTGTGCATTTAAGCCCAACTGTGGCACAAAAATTTCCCCTTTTTTATTTCTAGTTTTACATGTACATTGTGCATTTGTACAGTGTATATGCTAATAATCAACTTTATTTGCTGTTTTTATTTTATTTTAGTGATGAGATGGGACTAGGCAAGAGTCTTCAGTGCATATCATTAATATGGTAATTACACGTATAATGTCCTATTTACTGTGTACATGTAAACTGTGTATGTTCATCTTTTTATTAAATTAATAGGACGTTACTAAAGCAAGGTCCTTATGGTGGGTTGCCTGTGATGAGACGAGTCGTTGTTGTCACTCCTGGAAGCTTAGTCAAGGTACATACTACTCATTCCCCAAGCAAATACATATACATGTACATTA